TTCATTTTACATTTTACATACAATGCACAAGCAATCAATTTCAATTCATCTTGTTCTGAAAGAAACTTTTCTTTTGAAATTTTAGCAAATTCTTGATAGAAACATTTTATTTCGCTTTGCTGAACGCAACAATTGCAAATTTCATTGACTATGAAATCAAAATGATTAAGTAACGCAGTAATTGATTAGAAACGCAATGAACAACAAATGTCAGTGATAGCTTTTACGTTAATGCGGTGCAGAAGATAATAGAAAAAGGTCGGCAAGGCGAACAACACAATTGTCAAAAATAGGAAAAGCGATAGAAGAGATAAACCTTAGGATATTTTTTAAATAATTTTCAAGTAATTAATGGTTGACTTAAAAGTCAATTTAGAAGCTTTACGATCTCTCACTTTTCTAACGCTGTCATCAACATAACAACAAGCATAATGGGCTTGGATTTTTTGGATGAATGGTTTTTATCACAAGGTAAGCCGTAAATAAATAGATAGAGAATTCTTTTTTCTTTTTTAACATGTAATCTTTAACTAAACTAGTACTAATGGATTTTTGTGTGTTTAAACGTTTAATCGAAGAAAGGAAAAAACTAGGAGTACAAAAACAATTAAAGTTTTCTTTCTTTTGGTCTTAATCAAGTAAACTTGCGTAATTCAATTTACCTTTTTGGTCGTTAGCAGAAAAGTCTTATAATTTCCTTCGTTGGCTTTTCTGACATTCGCAAAACACCTGAACGTACACAAAGATATGGAATACAAGTTGAAGTTGTCATTCGACATCTTTTCCTCCATGAGAAAAGCAACAGATGACACTTTTAATTTCAGTCTGCAACAGTACGTAGAGAGGAGAAGAAGCGAAAAGCGTAAAACAACTTTACAGAACATCAATTAATTAAAGGAATATGCATGTTATGTCTTCTCTAAGAAGAATGGAAACAAAAGGCGTAGGAAATATAATCGGCTTGCGTCGAATCTTCAGTATCTTTGTAGGCGAGCAGTTTTCAGGGAGAACAACCAAAAAAGCACAAAGGCAACAATGGGTTCTCTTATTTTTTATAGAAAGTAGGCTAAATAATCTATTTTCGGCTTATGACGAATTTCGCATACCCTAAAACAAATGTTTGCGAATCGCATATTCGCTTTAATAAATTTTGACTCTGATCTTTTCATCAAAGTTTCAAAATCAGATTTTAAATTGATATATGCCAAAGAGGAAAAAAAGTATTGGATTCCAGCTTTAACGTAAAACGCAACATAAGGTGTAGTAAGTAAGTGGGTAGTAAGCAGTGAATGATGAATAATGGGTACAGGATAAGGAGTATGGAGTTGTGATAATGTAGAGTACTGAGTGGGGCTAGCTGCTTTAACTTTGAACCTTATGTGCGTACTGGCGAAAACTACTTAAATTTTGATGTACTCGCAAGATTAAAAAAGTAGGCGAGAAATACCTACACTTAGGCAATGATACTAGAGGGAAAATGAACATATATTTTTTTGAGCTTCCAAGACATTTAAAAAAGCCAGCAAACTTTTGAATATATGAGCAGGCAACTCAATAGTCATATAGGTTTACAGTTGAAAGAACCAGTGGACTAACGAACGAATAAAAAAATCAATTGGTAAATATAGTGCAGTGAACGGCGGAATGGAAAGCGAACAGAAGTTAAGAAAGAGGAACGTGGGAGTAAATAAATAGATAGAGAAACTTTAGAATCCGTAAACGTATAGATGACGATCAATGTGAAAACGCTGTGCCAAAATATAATAAGTCAGACAGACGGAAAGACGGGGCAACCACGCATTTATAGGTATGAGAACGGATACGCACAAGCTTGTTCAAGCAATTTGACGAACTAATTGACTCTGCCAAAAACACTGAAAATCCTGTGTTAGTTTAAAACTATTTACTTTATTCGCTGACCAAATTTTTATTTTTTAACGGAAAGAAGAAGAATAATGATCCGATAGCGAAATCAAAATTTTTGCGTCAATCTATTTGTAAAGCTTTAAATAAAAAGTGTTTCTAGCCAACAGTATTTAAGTCCTCAAGTGGGAGAGAGAGAGAGAAAGAGAGAGAGAGAGAGAGAGAGAGGGAGATGTTATCAACCTTCTTTCTTAAAGCAGTACCGACTCTGATTTAGGATATTTCATTACGTGGCAAATCCATACAACAAATTTATTATACTTTCATAGTTTTAAGTCTTCAGACTAAAAGAAAACAAAGACATATTCAATTGCATTCAAGCGCTCTAATGCCTTTCAAGTGATGACAAAGGAGAAAACAAGAAGGAAAAATTAAAGAAACTAAAAAAATAATCTAATCCTTTTGAATTGAAGAATATTTCCAAAGCAAACAAGTCACAAAATATTATCATTTATAAACTCCTTGTTAATTCCTTCTTTAATTCTTTTTTTTATGTTCTTTAATAATTAAATAGGCTCTCGCTGTTTGTTCTGCGTAATTATTTCATATAATAATTTTATAGCCTTTAAAATATATTATGAATATTAAAAATTTTTCCTAATGCAGTGTTGTCGTTATTGCCACCCAGTAGACCGAAAACAGCAACAATATATATGTATGCACACATAACAAGCAGTCATTAAGAAAAACAAATAAATCGAAAAACATCTAAAAAATTTTCGCTTTCTCTCTGAACATTTTTCTAAACATTCGAACGAAATCAAAAATATAAATAAAAGTCGACAAGAAATTTGTTTCGGAAAATCAGAAGGCAAATATTTACACAAACGAATAGAAATAAAATAATATACATGTGAGTCCAAGCGACCGACTATCAGAAAGAGAGAACATTTCTCGTTTATTTTCTTTTTTCACTGCAATTGATGCAACGCATCCATGAGGCGCACGGGGTTCATACATTATTCTTCACAATCACAGTCACTTAACGAATTCTTTTTATTTACTTCTATTTGCCGGATTAAACATATTTTAAAAACAAATTATACATAAAAAACTTTTTAGATAAGCTTGAATTTCAATAAACCAAAAGGTGGAAAATGCATTTTTTCCCACAGTCACTTCAATACGCGTAAACACTTGAGGCACGCCCGAACTATAATTTGCAAGAAACTTGATTTTTTTCGAGCCGCCGAAAACTTTTATGAATAATGAAATGAAAGTAACTCTAAGCAACTGTTTACTCAGATTATTGAAAACATTTTTTTGCATAATTTATATTCTAATTTTGTATTTGTTATAATTTGTTTGCTACTCTAGTATGAAGGGAATTTTTAGGAAGAGGGTAGTCCGCCGCTTTGCTTATATAGAAAAATTGCCTGTAATATGTTGTGATGTCATCAGAATCGAAGGAGTTTGCAGAATTTCGTCCTATTGGAATTTTTTTTTTTTTTCCCTTTCCTTTTAAAAGTCTCATGCCTTTTCTGATTAAGTGCTCACTATAGCTACGACCAAACTAAACTTTACCGCGAACAATGACCTGAATGTAACGATTCTTACCTATGTCGGTTATTCTTGCCTTATATACCGAATATACGGAAATACCCGAAATATCAACTGGTAGTTTCTATGCTAACATAAAAATAAGAGATATTTGGCGTTCAGGTTAAGTCAATAAATGAAATCGATATTTACAAACCGACATCAGGGCCGGTAGATTTTCTGAAAGCTCAACAACTCCAGCGTAAACGTGTATGGTTTCTAAGTTCTCCGCGATCCACGCGCAATATCCATTGCGTTTAGACAAAGCCAAAAAAATTCTATTTTTTGTGAAGATTCTTCCCTCGTGCTGCCCACAATTACTTATCTTACAATTGATGCTCTGTGGCCTTCCTATCGTTAAAAGATAGAATGATTGTTTCGTTCGTGTATCACTGATGTTTCAGTTGGAAATCAAACCAACCAAAAAGATGCAGTTTCTCATGATAATCCCTTTGTGAATTCCTTAACTATCGTTTGTTACAAATTTGAAGCAATTTACTACAATCGCAAATTTCCTTCTCGTAAGGGCGATATGAAGAGCGGAAGAAAGCAAGAACATTTTAGTTACCCTGAGGAGAATCTTTAATATATTAGGCAACTGAAACATGTAAACAAATATCACAAAGTTATTCATTATAGCTGTGCATTGCTTGTTTACTACATTGTTTAATTCATTACTTAGATTTACAAAATCTTGTTAGCTACTACACACCATTTTTCTGAATATCGGAAGAAGATAGGCGACCCGAACAAGAAACTTCACTCATGCAACATGGTGATTGTCAGAAAGGAGAGAGGGCTGAAAGATATAGAAAGGTGGTTCTTTACCTCTCAATATGTCCTCCCTAAAGGTATTTGTACGGACGATTTTGAAACTCAATAAAACTCAATTATTGTCGAGAGAGGAGATAGGACTGTCACAATATCGCACCTGCTTAGCAAATTTTTCCCTGGCTGGATATGTAACAACACTGAGTCCATTTTTTAGCTCTCGCAAGAAGTCAATCTATTACTGCTTTTCTAATTGGCGCCCTCCACTAAATCAGAAAAGTTTAAGCATATCTGATACTGTGCCAAAAAAGCATTGCACATCCAGAATAATAGCCGAGCACTGAAATTAGTTTGGTTTTTCGATTCGAATTCGATTCTAGCAACGTCATCTGAAAGATACAATGAGCGCATAGAAGAACATCATTATTTATAACTGAGCAAAACCTAATTTTTCTCTTTATATACACAAAATAAATATATAAATATTAGAGTAACAACTGAACGGATGGACATATAGGCCAACATTATTAATTCAACGAGCCTCTTTATTCAGTATCTTAGAGGCCTTTCAATGAAATCGTTCGAACCGCAACGCTTGATTTGAAAACCGCGTGTGTATGTGAAAACCATTTAAATCGAAAAAAAATTTGTAAGAGAAATGAATGCAAAAAGAAAATTCATTTTTAGCCAAAAATAACTAGTAGATGATGGCTGTGGAATGCAATACGGGCAGGAAACTAACAAAAGAAAAAAAAAACTTTTTCCAGATAAAATAATTCAAATAAAATATAACTCAAAGAACAACAGTTGTTGAATAGGAATTTGGAAATTAAGAAAGAGAGAGACTAAAAGGCACGAAAAAATTAATGTAAAAGAAAAAATGAACATTTGTTAAAGACAATGTTCTGCTCCACTGTATACCTCTTTTATTGTCTATATATATATATATATTTTTTTTTTTTTTCCATTGTATATATTTGTGTGCATCATGTATATATTTATACATGATTTTGACGACAATATTTATAAAATCAAATGCTTCGTAAAGTGTTTCTTTCTGATCATTTTTACGCCTCCATATGTTTATTTTTGTATAAAATTCGTATCTATATTTGCATTATTTAAACATATTCCTACACATATACATTTATATATATTTATATCTTATATGGGATTTGTATTTGTACAGATGGCGATGAAGGCGATTATGAAGATGACGTTGAAAATTAATTATATTTACAAAAATTTATTTGTACACTCATCAGTCTGTCTGTCTGCATATAAGTAAACTTGTGTGTGTGTGTGTTTATGTAAATAAGAGAATTTTCAACCAAAAACCATATATTTTATATTCGTTTAAACGAAACATCGCACAACAACGACTTAGAAAACTAAATGAATGAATTTTACGGCATTTATGTAGAAAGCCAGTAAACCACAACATATCTCTGCTTTATTAATATTTAATTTGTCAACTTTAGATACAAATACATCTGCACTTACATATACATGTGTGCGTGTGTAAATGTAAATAAATTTACAAATGTCGACAAGTAAACTATTCCCTTTAGGCCGTTGTATGAGTATGCATCAGGCTAATTGAAAAATTCGCAGAATGAAACACTTACTTCTTAATCCTTACATGCAGTTTCCAACAATTATGCAATTCATTGCTTCAATCTTTCGACCGATCAACGGCAGGAAAGATTTGCAAAATAATACTTGTTGTCTGCTTTAAATTCTCTTTATTTGTTGAAAAATGTTACGTAGAAATTTGGTGGAAGACAAATCTTACTGACACAAACTTTTCCATCCAATTAATCCAGTTTTTGGCAAGTGCTATACTTTTAGCGTTTTAAAATTTGCCACTGTTCAGAATCGTATACATAACAACACATGACAACGCATTAAATCGATTTTATTCTTTCGAAAAATATGGAAAAATTCAACAAAGGCGAACATACGATTGAAATTGTTCACTAAATTCAATTATTGAAGATTTAATTTCTCTTAACATAACTATTTAAATATTAAATATATTCAGTAATTGCACTTGCCGCATCCAGAACCAAAATTACTAGGCAAAAATGTATGGATTAGTCTCAAGTAAGCGAACGTAACTTTTAAGGTAGCAATCTTCTCTCGTACATTTGACCCTAAATTATGAATAATCCACAAACTTAATTACTACGACATTTATTATTATTTCCTTACCGCTATCATCGTTCTTCGGATGGCACTTTACGAACTTTTCAGTTAGCCTAGACCATATTTATCTCACGCATGGACATAGTTAATAATAATATACAAAGATATGTGATGCTCGTAATTTTTATTGCGTTATTAGGCTTCTTACATACGTCGTACTACTTACTCCTATTCGTTTATTATCGGAATATTTATGAAAATCTCCGAATTTATTGCAGACACAGTGACAAGCAATCTTTGCGAAATAGAATTTTGCAAGAATTTTTACCCAATTCGTTATGTATGGGAACAGTAAGATATGTGAGCAAAAAAAAAAAAACATCGTCCCACATAGAAAGTGCCTTGAACAGCTGTTGTTCTTCGCTTTGAGTAGAGAATTTTTGTGTGCGTTACTCTGCTTGTTCGTAATAAAAATAATCAATTTAAGATTTTATGTGTGTGTGTTTAGCAAATAACAAACAAAAGTATAAAACTTTACACCAAAGAAGGCAAAACGATGTGTATAAACAACAACAACATAATGAATAAAAGCAAAATTTTGTGGGAATCTATGTGAATTGGGAAAATTGAACAGATTGCTCTAAAAATAATTTTTTAAATAATTTTTAAAGGTTAAAACCTTAGAAAACTTTACAATTATGTTTTAACGTAAATAAATAAATTCGAAGAAGACTATTGAAAACTAAAATGCCTTTTGTCGCACCAAAGTCAACTGCAAGCGCAGCAGCTAGTCGTACCACGTCGAGACCTCCCTGGGTGAAAGAAGATGGCTCTACCGGTCTTAAGCCCACGGCGAAAACAACGGTTCCGTGGGCTCGTAAAACCAACGAAGAAAAAGAAAACACCGTTACGTCTAGTAAACCCACAACAAGCGCACCCAACAAAGTAACAGAGAGTTCCGTCTCGAAGAAAACGTCTGAACCTAACAACACCTTAAAAAGAGAACCACAAATAAATACAAATTTCAGAGAACCACATAAGCCAGAGATAACTCCCGCAATTAAAAAGGAACCAGAAAGTAAAAAACTCCTAACTAGCACTAATAATACCACAGCAACGAAAATCGCAACTAATAAAGCGACATCTACACCCAAAAAGGAACCCAGCCCATCGTCCTCTGAAGAAGAAGAGGAAACTGAAGAGGAAACCGAAGAGGAAGAAGATTCTGAAGATGTGGAAGAAAGTGACGAGTCCGACGAATCAGAAGATGAACCACCACCACCACCAGTAAAATCGATACCCCAGGCCAAGCTCTCAGCCGCTAAACCCGCATCTTCTAAAACCACAACAACAACAGCAGCAACATCAAACGCATCAACAAAATCTCCTAAAGGGGAAGAAGAAGAAAGTGAGTTAAAACGACGTTTTTCTTTAGAGAAACCCAAGCTTAGACCGGTCGTTGTAAAACGTGACAAATCTCTGAAGAAAATCGAAGATGATTCGGAAACTGTCGAAGGAGAAACTGAAGAAGAGCGCGAACGTAGATTACGTTTCAAATTAGAGAAACCTAAGCTACGACATGTTAAACGCGAAGAGAAACCTTTACCCAGTAAGAGTAGTGAAAATGTATTAAAGTTTCGTCCTACCTTAAAAAAGATACCCAAGATTGATGAGATTCTTAAAGAGTCAAAGGAAGAGCCCAAACCAGAATTCAAAACGAAAACTTTACGTAAAGCTCCCTCAATGAAACGTGAGCCCAGTATCAAAAATGGTGAGTGTTTAGGGTTCCAGATAAGAAAACAAAAAAATGAAAACATCCCAAAGAATGTGAAATGCTCTAATAAATGTAAATTTTTTGAAGAATTTCCATATATAATAGTTCATCGGTAACGTTTATGAAAAACGCCAAAATATTCCGTATTCCTGTATGCTCTTCTATCGAATGTTTCGCTCAGAGCTGTACATATAATGCTTTAATAATTTTCAACCGTACGTTAAAGCAGAACATAGTGAAGGTTTCTATGACTTAACATTTTTTGACTTTACTTCTTGGCAATTATGAAAATCTGAATGTATACTATTATTACTTATTCCGCATATTCATAATAACTTTATCTCATTATTTCGTCAATTTATCCAAACTAACCTAAAATTATTGACTTCACTTCACTTCTCTTTCCATTTATATACCGAAAGCTTTTTCAGTAACAATGTAATATTTTCGATTTTCAATGCTTACTTCTTTTAAGCCATATCGTGAAAGGGAAATGTGAATTTTATTGCGGTTACCTTCGAGATTCAAAAAGTGCTCTCATGTTTGCGTCTCTCTATTGTGTGCGTCTTCTTAGTCACAATGACGCTACTAAAGGACACACCTTGATATTTATTTCGTTTCAAGAAATTACATCACTTGGATACGACAACCATAATCAGTGTTTATGGCCAAATAATATTGATTGTTAAAACCGGAAACTATCTGCATTCGTGTTGCACATATCAAAATCGTGTGCGAAAATGTCAAAGATTAGCTTAAAACTTCATTGAAATTAATGTGGATATGGAATAGCTCGCCACGAAACAATTTCTGCTCTGTTCTGCAAATTGCACTTGCTGGAGGAGAAAGAAAGTGTGAAATCAACCCAGCGAATATTTACAAAAGTTGTAACTAAGTAATAACAAACTATAACTAACAGCATAGTAGCCAATTATCCATGTAGTTCTGACAGAAAGAAATATACATTTGTAACAACAATCAATAAGAGGAGCCACTAGAATGTGGTCTTTTAAAAAAATTCTGCTCACTTTAGAGCGTACTTTATACATTAAGCCAATTACTTTTGAATGTATTCCGCACACCAATCATAGTTGTTCCTTCAAAACTAACGTTTTGTCTGGGGAGGTCCGCGCAAACTTTACGATTCGATTTAAGCACGTCTCACCTTAACCTAAATGTAATTAAACGCGTAAACCAAGTTTGTGCATATAAGCCTAAAAAAAGATTATAATCCTCACCACCATAGCTGGGTTATAGCAATTAATATTGACTCTTACTTTTATTTATATATTGATCCTTACATAATCTCGAAGGCATTAAGGCCTATTATAATAGATTACTATGTCTATCATAGGAATAATAAAAAAATACAATAATACAAAATGCTCTTGAACAATCTAAAGGAAAAGAAGAGAAAATTGAAGGTAAAGAGAAAAAAGTGAAACGGGAAAATAATTAGAGTAGGAGAACAGGAAATAACACATACCACCCCCTCACTTTCGTCCCAATACTAGGTAATTGGCTAATCTCATTATTAGCGGCAAAGATCGAAAACTTGCAGTTGTAAGTAAGATAAGAATACCTAATTGTTGTAACTCCTTATTTATAAGCTCTTTTAACCCTTACAAGAAGGGATTTGGCATAGAGCAGCTAACTAGACGGATCGACAAATGGTTATTGCTAAAGAAAATATTGAAAAGAAAATAAATTAAGGTGCTCCTTCATTTCCTGCCGTAAGAAAATGTTGTATAGGTTGAACAGAAGTCGACCTTTGATAAAATTAACGAAAGAATAACCTAGAAAACGTCGAACATAACCTTGGCATACCACCTCAAGAAAAATGTAGATCTAACTATACGATTGCATAAAAATCTGTATTTCTTTAGGTTTGAAGTGTTCGTGCTACTATAGCTTTTCGAACACTCAGAAAGCAAGGGCGCTCACCTAAAAATAATGCGTAAGTCTTAGCTCTTTTCACGATTTAATAGGAAATTGACAACTACCGTAAAATACATTTCTTTTGCCCCGAAGCAGGCTTTTCAGAACCAGTTTCTCTTTTCTTCATTTTCCTTGTTCTTCTGGTACTCTCATCATGATGTTTTATTCTGCCCTGAACTATTTTAGCAATGTCTGTTGTCTACATGTCTGCTGTATACATGCCTGCCGTATTTATCCAATAGTACAATATGTCAAGATTATTTCTACAAATTTCAAATTATTTTATTCCCACTTGAAACTTCAATCTTATTTTTCACAGAATCGCATGCCACGGTGTTTGTAAAATTTGGTTAAAGTCTTTTGGATTGACTAAAGCACGGTGAAGGTTTCATGCAAAATTTGTTTTTTTTTTTTTTGAGTACAACCCGGCCAAATATGCAAACCTAAATTCACCCACTGGCAGAAAGTATTTGTTTTTATACCATACGCCACTTGTACTACAGAGTATATAAAGTTCGTGCGGACGTATGTAACGCGCAGAAGGTTTAAAGATAGACCCACCTTTTATTGTACCAAGTAAGCCTTTCCACCCGTCTTTCTGCCTGTCTGCCCATGTAAATTGGTGTTCAACCTGCAAGTCGCAACTTTTGAGATATTTTGATGAAAGCTGACGAGGTTCGACGCAAGGATGAACGCTATTGAAAATGGTCTGGACCGGTCCACGCTTTCCACAACTCCTCGTTTAACTCTATACTTTGAAGAGTCGTTATATGCAAAAAATTCCAATATTGAAAATTTCCCCACAAAACTCGATTTGCAACGGTATTTGGACATACTAAATTCGTATGAAAAATTCGGTTCAGCTGGGGCAATTTTTTGAATCCTCTCCTATATAACGACGCTTACGAGAGCTGAATCGTTATATAATAAAAGAGTATAATTTTTAATGTTTCATGGAGAAAATTAGTTCATAATAGCAAACCCACATAAATCTTACCGACACTTGGGCGTAGGTCAATTTTTTCAATACCATCGCATAAAGGATTCCTCTAATATGCGGGTTTTCATGAAAAGGATGCATGGTGTATTATTGCCAAAACGAGCGAATAGCTGTGTTATGCAACGTGGCCTTGTACGACAATAATGTTCTCACTTGTTTGATTGTAAAAAAGCTATCAGGTATTATCCCGACCATCGCGAAGTTATTTTTTCTCATCGTTTAATTCTATTATAAAAAATATTGTTAAACTGTTATTCCTTTATATGCTTAGAAGTGTGAATAAAATAATTCTTTTATTAAATTATATGCTTCGTTTCATCGTTCGAATAGAACCAGCACAACTTTTTCAGAAAAAAGTTACAAAAATACAGAGTGAAAGCTGGAGGCTGGTTAAATTTCACAGATTAAATCGGAAAATATGTTTGTGATGCACAAAGACACTCTGTCCGTAGGCCAAAAGTACTATAAATCTTCAACGCGAAAAAAACGAGAATTTCCAATACCGATGTACAATTTGGCAAAGAATAACCCTAAAGTCCTCTACGCATATTCTGTTCTATTCATGTCGGTTGACGAAGAGTTGCATGCGATATACATTTCACGGCGACTATAAAATAATTTCCATATTTCTCTAATCATCGCATGTAATGGGACATGAATAGAATTCTGTTTAAAAGATCATTTTCGCTTCATTTCACATTCATTCATACACTTATTCAGGTGCTTTGAACCGCTTTAAATCTGCTCACGTTTTAATTGTAATCTCCATTTTACTTTTTTGTTTTAATAACTATAATAAAAATATTTTTATCATTTCCCCAGTTTATCATAACTGCTATGCAAAACAACCGCAGCACAACAGTTTTTAAAACTCAAACTTTTACCGCAACTATCATTTGTTTGGTGAAGCATCAATTGAATATTCAAAATGAAAACATAAAAAATAAGAAAGTATCGCACAACACTACTCATAAACGTTGTCATTCCGTTATCATTACTTTATCACTAAGTAGATGCATATATTTATGCTATACAGAGAGTGTACACGATGTTTCATTACTAAATCTCTAAAGACTTAATTAAGAGCTTTTGTTTTGCATAATTATACTTATTTCTGCGGATTCATTCAAGTTCCCGCTCCTCCGCCTCTGCCATCGCTGATACCGAAAGCGCCGCCACCACCACCCCCACCTGGTGCTCCTGGTGACAAAAAGAACTTAACACCTTCGCAAAAGGCCACTATAGAACGTCTCAGGTGAAGATGCAAATATTCTGTTCTGTGTACTACATGGCAAACCGAATGAATTAAAACCAAGCACTTGAAATATTTTTGCTTTTCTCTCATTATTTAGAACACGACCACGTAAACGACCAGATTGGTCAGAGATGATGAAAGAAGTCGAGACTGGCAAACGACTGCGTCACGTGGAATGCAATGATAGGTGAAAGCAATAGAATTGCTTATCAACACGTAATATATATTTTTTATGATTTCTTCCTTCGCACCTAATAGGTCTCAACCCATTCTTACGTGCAAATCGATGACGAAAGTGGATAACAAGTTTATTTACGAGACGGAAAAGGAAAATTCGCACAATAAATTGTTAAAGCAGATACAAGGCGGTATCAAGTTGAAACCAACGCAAACTAACGATCGCAGTAAACCGTTTTTAGAGGGTTTACGCAAGTTCCGTCGACAAATGACTATTGAGGAACAGCTGCAAAAATCGCAATCGAAAATTAATATATTAAGCGCCAGCAATAATACTGATGTAAGTTTACAAAGCCGACGTTTCGAATTCTTTACATGACTCAATTAGACGAATTTCAAGAGAAGCCATTACTGAAAATTTTTTCGTGCTTTACGAGAAACTAAGTTTTTCGTCAAGGTCGTAGCACTAGAGTTCTTCAATTGATTTAGAATTACAATAACACTATCAAGTGAAACGAGTAGGACCCTCTTCACAACGAAATTTCATCGATTTCAATATGGCTTTTGACCGATATTTAAAAAAAAAAAAACTGTTTCCGTATATTACGTATTTTTTGTTAATATTTCAACCATTTTCGAAGTTTATTTGCTTAGATAGAAAATTGCGATTTCCATAGAAGCGCGGATAACTAATTTATACAAAATGTTTTTTTTTTAGAAATCTTTTCTCTTTTGTTTTTAAAAAATTATTAAAACAATTTTGTGACGGTTTCCACAAATGCAGAACCATGTATTAAATACTCTGCATCACCCTACAATTATACCTAGTTTTTAATATAAAGTCTTATATGGGAAGTGGTCGGAAAAGTGGTACAATCCGAACGATTTTCAATACCGTTCGCACTTGTGCATCTCGATGTTCGAAATGTCATCAAAATACCTTAAAGATTGAAACTTATATGCTGAACACAAGAAAAGACGGATCGACACACTTAAATCAAATTAGAAAATGATTCTGAATCGATCGCAGTAATAAAAGGCACCTCACAACCTTCACGCCACAATTGATGCAGATTAAGAAGATTTTTTACTCATAATTTTGTGCTCATATGATATCATTTCTTCTTCAGGAAAGGTTTATATCCCATAATGTAGAATATTATCATTTTAGTGTAGTTAGTAGACAACAATGATCTCCTAAGCCATACAAAGATCTCCTAAGTCGTACATATGGTTTCACTTTTAAGTTAGATTCCGAGTACGAAACACAAAGGCTTTTCTACTCTAGCCTAGAAATTAAAAAAAAACTAATTTAGCAAAGCGTCGGTCTCAATCTTCTTCTACCGATATATTAAATTGCGATCAAATGTTTGGTAGGGCCAACTGCGGTCATGTTCCCGTCCAGTTGAAATTAGAATCGATGACGACGCCACAATTTTACTTAGGCTTTGAAATTTCCACTACATACTTTCTTATTCAGACAAAGTTGTCAAGCTCAATAACCAACTCAAACAACTCTACATAAATAAGCAGTTCTCCTTCACCTTGAAAAGAGTTTTCTTTAGCAGCCTATTCAAACCAATTCACAAAAATTTCAATTTCGAAATGTGGTGGTATTTATGATAATTTAATATTTTTTAACTGTAGAGAGCAAAGTTTACAAACGTGATAGGTGGCCACTAGCCAAGACTTGATATGCTAAATATCAGCTTATTTTCAGAGAGACAGCGCAGGGAATGGCGAGGGAACAGAGGGAACTAAATGAATATAGCGTCTTGTAGTGACCAATTGCAAGGGAAACTACATAGTGCTAATCGTCGTTTATTTTTAAATCGCGTCGCATATTAATCGAACGTAATTCTCTCTCTCTCTCTCTACAGATATATCAAATAGCATCAGTATTTAGAAAGACTTCGCAATTTCGTTGGAAATTGCTAATAGACATTGAAAAATGTATTCCAGGCCAATATAAAATATCACTCTTGTGATGTTAGCTTAAAGTTAAATATCCAACTTGAATATAATTTCCTTATAGGTTACAGACGGTGCCGCTTTATCAGCTGGCAGTTCGGCTAGTTGCATAGTTAATGCTTTATCTGTTGATGATCCCAGTAGCGACGAGCTCGATGATATTGATAAGATACGTGATGATTTGCAAAGTACAAAGCAAATGTTGGCTCTGGAACTGCGTAATCGTGAAGCTCAAGAACGAGAAAACAAGAAGCTTTTAGCCAAAATAGCCACCTTGGAGGCTGAGTTGGAACGTGAGAAGTCACGTGAGAAAACTTTAGAATATGGTTCGAGAATTATTGTAGCCACCATGGAAACTACTCCCGCCTCCGAACAAGCATATCTTGATTCTCTAAAACAAGAAGCCGAAGAGGCTCGAACGACCGCTAAAGATTTGGAAAAGAAATATCATGAAACGGGCGAGATGCTAGATCAAGCTAAGAGCGAAATCGATGAGCAAAAGAGGCAAATTCAACTATTAGAACGTAAATTGGCTCAAGTTCTGCAGGTAATAGCAAAAAATCCGTCATCTTTTTTCGTATTATCTAAATATTTAATGGCTTTTATCATAAATTAAAAATTTATGCTTGCGCCGTAAACAATTAATTCAATGCTTTTCGCTTAAAGCCTAATGCAAGTCCTGATGGTTTTACTAACACAAAGCAATTTCATTTTCGTTATCCTTACGAAGATGCAGATGAATATATTACATTCTATTATCAAAATCAGAATGGTCAGGTATATAGTCTAAATTGGAGATATTGCAAATAGGCGAGCATTAATGTTTACTTTCACGCTTCTTCTAAACTGATATATAGGGAGGCGGCTTGGATAGCAGAAGGGCTAGTGATGCCCATAACGGACGTGACAGCGCTTCAGATTTAGATCTGGCCGAGTTTAGTGCAAGCGATCCTGACGAGCCCGAAGAAAAGAAGAATGAAAGGCGTCAACGTCGTCTAATCAAAGAAGTTAAAGTTTTACGAAGTAAACTAACTAAGCTTAAAGTGAAACAAGAGGCAGCCAAGAAAGAGAAGGAAGCCCTTAAACAAGCCATGAAAAAGAACCACGTTATATTAAAGTAATAGATGAAAGCATTGTTACGAGCTTAACAACCTTTACATAACATAACATTGTGGACATTTATTCATTTTAGAGAAGAAAACAAAAAATTCAAAAAGCTCGAAAAGGAGGTACATAAAATGGCTGCTTCTATGAAAGGAGAGGAAGATGAGGATGACGAAGAGAAAGAAGCGGAAGGGACCGAAGAAGCTGAAGAAGAGGAATCCGAAGATGAGTCTGAAGAGTCCGAGGAATCCGAATCCGAAGAAAGTGAAGCAGAAACGGAGAGCGAATCTGAACCTGAGGTATGAATGTCATCATTATTTGTATAAATGAGCAGTTTGCTATTTTTCTTTTTTTTTTTACTTTTATTTAGGATGCTTCAAACGAAAGTAAAAAAGAAAATTTGGAACCTCGGGTGAAAAAACACGAAAGCCGTTTTTCTGCCATGAAAAAATGCAATGTATTGTTGCAGGCAAATGTTGACAATTTACAGGATAAAATTACGCAAGTACGGTCGAAAGCCGCTAATCTACAATCTGAATTGGATGCCGTACTTGCCGATCTAGGCTTCTAAAATAATTTTTTTATCACAAAATTTTTCAAAGTAACATATTTTAAATTGCAGTTAAATTGTATTTACCTTCTCTTTTAGTTTCTGTTGATTATCTGCGGTGACGAGATGGTTGACAGCAACCACTGACCGATACCAAAACTACTATTAAACTACCACTTAAAAAACAAACATTAAATTTACACGTATTTTGACACGATATTACAATCCTCTCTAAACAATTTAATACTAATTTCACAACAAATTAATATAGAAAAAATGAAAAAAAAAAACTTAAAACTTCACACTTTTTCTTTTATTGTCAAATGTTTTCTTTTATTATTTATAGTTGTTGTCATATCCATTACCGTGTTTGTTTATTTTCTATTTAATGTCATTTCAGTGCTACCAAGTTAAACTATGTGTATTAACTATTAGACAGAGTTGTTTCACACTAAATTGTAATATAAAAACCTAGCATTTTTTCTCAATAGGGTCAAAACACACCAAAATATTGCTCGCTTTTTTTGCTTTTCAAGTCGCAAATAATAAAGCACATACGATACACGATATCGTTGAAGCTATGAAAATAAGATATTGGTTGTAAACTTGTGGTTTGGGAAATGCAAACAAAGAAATCAAAATTAATACAAACAAATACTATGGGGTTTGAAATGTAACATTAGGAAGCTATAAACATGATTCAAAAATAATGCAATATACCAAACAGGAATATTAAAGAAACTGTACTTTTATATTAAAATAATTTATTTTTACATTTTTCCTCTTTCTTCCTTTTTTGTTTTTGAAAGGCAATCCTAGCGAAATCTAGTAATACCTAGCGGATCTAGCAATGCTTCATGTTCGCAGTGCATGAAAATTTCTTTGAGGGCATATTCATTGCTATCAAGGTATTGAAGTTGAAAGTTTGATGGTAAGCGCGCACAATTTTTTTGCGAGCTCCCCCTTGCCAGCTGACAACCAATAAAAGGCGTATAACAAAAGATATTAAAACATGTATTTGTGATAAAAGCTAATTTACCTCAGTTTTTAGGGTAGTACATTACCACAAAAAAAGCAGATTTAGATTTCTTGCTAAGGAAATACTTAATCTCTTCTTGAAGAACGGATGTGAAGTCTTCAAATTACGAACGGAAAATTATAGAACTTTCCTCGCAAATTCGGAAATTTATAGGTTTTAATTAGTTCATTTATCCAAGGGTTTTCTTTGTATTATTGTTATTATTATTATTATTATCTTATATTATTATATCTATATAAATATATATGTCGGTGAATATGTGCACAATAGGTAAGTGTTAAGTTTGACCGATATCGAGAACCATAAACCAGCTTACTATTTAGTGCAGCCATATGCCCCAAAATATTCGGTGTGAATGGATGGTTATGACAGGTTTGTGGAGGGTATTAGTGTGGTTATGACAGGTTTGCGGAAGGTTTTAGTATGGTTATGGCAGGTTTGTGGATAACATTTGCTTCCTTTAAACTCTGAATCGGTATTAACTCATTTTCTTAACTTAAATTTGAAAGACATTGAGATTTCTACGATAAATATAATTTTATATTCATTTAAATGTTAATAAAATTTTTCTAAATTCTGATACTTCTATGTGTAATAAAACATGTGAAATGATGGTTTATCTAAAAGACTCGCTGTTTCAATATCGGATGATTACATTACTTATGTTATTTGCTCTGTCCAATTGTAACTTTTTTAAATTTTTGGATTATGGAGTCCTTTTATTGAACTTTCACACGAGTTCTGAAAAAACCTTCAGCTAAAAACTTTCAAATTTTTTTCTTACTTCAAATGAAGATCTCCCCTCCAAGTGATAAGCGCATACATACGCGCAAATTTAGTTACATACGCGCATAGTTTTGAATATAAATATCAACATGTCTACGTCGAATAATTATTAAGGGATGTTTTCAAGCAATGGCACGTTTATTTTGTTATATGTCTTAAACAGGTGTTTTAAAAACAACCGTAAGTGCATGTCGTAAAATTAACGAAAGTTGAACTGAAACGACAGGTGCTTGCAATTCAGGTCGATTTGTTGGATACCTACTATTATCTACTATTTAGCACTGAAATAGAAAAATTCCTACAATATTTAAGATTCGTTCGATAGCAAGCATAGATTTGCAGACTTCTTCTTTTTACTTCAGCTACTTCCGTTTGTATGCAGTCGACGTTTTGGTCAAAGTACTCGAGCCAAATCTAAGGGATTTGTAAGAAGAAGAGCTCAAGTCCGGTTGATTTCTTTTAAGGACATACCTACTTTCCCTTTCAAGTCGTCAAATTTGCTTTTAACAAAGTTGTATATTACAGTGGACTATTTGCGGCTCAATTTATATACGCCACCTACACACATATGCTTATCTAAGTTTGGTCGAATAGGCGGGTGATCCGCGGACGATCTGATTTGATCGATTGCTGGTCAATAAAACTGTCAATGCGAACGAAGGCTTGAGTCTACTTAGCTCAAAAATTTCGAACATTAAAGAACAATAGTCAGAAGCTTAATAAACCTTACGCGTATGATTGCAAGAATGCTAATAACAAATATTTCTAAAAGCAGGCAACCTTAAGAATTTTAAAGAACACAATTATACTCAAAAAAAAAGTTTACTTTGAAAACGATTTGGGAGTGTGTTTTCAGCGACGGAGGTCAATTCCTGCGTTTGCCTAACCTACTAGGTTTGGGACAATAAGATGGAATCTCCCGCACAGCTAATGCAAATATTGAATTATTTAAATTCAGAAAGAATAATTTTTACGAGGAACCTCTTCTGTCAACAATGAGCACACAGTTAATTGTCCAATTCAAAATAAACCAGTGGAATTATGGTTGATTTTGTTTTCTTGGATATGAGATTTAATGCAATTAATATCTACACAGTCGCGGTCGACTGCCGTCTGTCGGCAATGATAAAAATAAAGTTATTTTTCTAATATTATCACAAGTGTTCCACAATTCGCCCTAAGGCCTTCTTAGGTGTTATACGCATCACCAAAGCATGAGCGGTATACACCAATTTACCAAAACGTTTGCAACTGGGCTAAATAGATGGAAGGACACGCCCACAGTACTACGTAAACGCACAGAAGGAATCTATAAAAACCATGAACGTCCGTTAATTCACTTGTCCATCTGCAGTAAGCATTCAGCCTTTTGTAAGAATTAATGAACTTGCTTTCCGTGTTTCTTGCTTGGTATGGTCCATGATATGAATTTCCACTTTTATTCTGGAAATGACAACTGGTATCCACGCTCGCCCAATGTCAGAGAGTATGAAGATTTAGCTCTTTTCCTTTTGCTAAATCTCTTTTAGAATATTGGTGACAGGTATAAAAGATTCGGTCACGTCCGAATATAATTTTCTTCCGGGTGTACTTGGGGGTTGATTTTGGGATTGTCATGGGAAAATAACATTAAATAATATTGAAATTGAAGCATTTCGCAACTTTTTTTTTTATAAAAATGTTGCTAAACAGTCCAACTCTAATTACAGTCCATACACAAAGCATGCTCAAGTTAAGAGTCGAACTAATCATGATTCTAAAGGATGTAATGTTTACGTCAATAAAGCATGTCTGAGGCAATAAAAAAAAGGTTTATTTAAGTATTGACAGCAAAAAGGGCTAAACTTACATATATCTAACCAAAATAAAAAAAAAATACCTAAGTAAATAAAATCAATTAAATAATAACAAAAAAAAAAGCAACAAATATAAGTAACCGTCTCCACCACCGCAACGGTTGACGAACCGTTTTGTTATTACTTGGTCAATATGTTATTTTTCACAAGCCTATACATACACGCGTACACAATATGTAATCACACGAATAGCATCGATTAACTCTGACTATGCAAGATATTGCTGTTGTTGTCACTTTTTTTTATTTAACGTGAACCCTACTTTATAAGTTGCGAGAGCTTCAGTTGATTCACTTAATTCAGTCTTGAAACACGCTTTGAATCGAATAAAACGTTATTTTTAATACAAGTTCGAAATTATTCCCAAAATAAGGAAAAAAAATTCTCTTAAAACAAATTTGTTTAAAATAGAGTTTAGTGATTAGCAAACTCGGAGTAAATTCGAATGTTTTATTAAAACGATAAATGCTTGCACATAATCTTACAAGCGAAAATATTTACGAGGTAATCAGCCAATCAGTGTAACATTTCTTGTAAAAATACCTAAACGTCATATAAAATAATTCACTAATATTCAATTATCACATAATAATTATTAAAAGTATAATTCATTAATCAGATAACAATGCAAAACTTATTAACTTATTAGTATAGGCCGAACTCTTTAATACTCTGCGTTACATTGGCTAGTTTTTTCATAATTATTGAATCGCGCGTAAAGAAAATTACAATCGTTACTAAGCAATGTCACAAGAGCACTGCGTAAATAGGTCTCTTTTCTTAAAATCGCAACTGCAACGAAATATAATCAAAATATCGTTTGCATAAGTGGAATTAGCATGTCAAAAAGAAGTGGTAGCTGGGTTAGAAAGAATGGTAAGCGTTTTTCGGTCGGTCACCTTTTTCTCATTGTTCATATAAAAATCAATGGCAGCATAAATGCGTTAAAGATAGCTGTTCCTCATAAACGGTAACAAATATTCAGTGAGTTTCGTCGTCGTTTTTGTTGTACCCAAATTCGGGGGAAGAGCACAACAGATCTAGTCATGGACTTGTAGACCAAGAGTGTGCTTGATCAAAGAAAGTCAGCACGGTGATGAGAAGGCGCGACCTGATGTAATAGCTGCATTCTATTTTGTTATCAGAGATCCAGTTATTACTAACACACCTTTTTTTGGCCATTGGCAAAATTAAATCTTTCTAAAAAGGTGACCGCGTTAACGTTAACCATTTTTGATGTATGTAATTATCATGTGCGCATTTTAAACTCTTACAAGCCTTTGTTATTACCCATTGTGGTGTAGTTATAAAAATATTGCAAAACACCCGATTATGACGTCAGACTGATGATTGCTTGTTACGTGAACGCTTTAATATGCGCTTTATATAGCACTGCATATAGACTTTCCAAAGGAATAACTTAATATATATATTTGTAATGTGAATAGCATAGCATTCGTATGATTCATAACGATTTTATAGCACAAAGCTATTAATTTTTCGCACGAAAACAAATCCTATAATAAACAAAAACTCGTGCATACCTCATGAAAGTTCGTTTTCATTTCCTTTTTTTTTTCCAGACACAACCATGGTTAAGCGTTCTTTCAAATCGTTATCTTCACACAATACGCCATTATCGATGAACGTTAAAAACCTCAATATGAATAACGCACATATTACCTTACATCATGTTAATCACAATCATAACAATAATGTCATACACAAAATGAGTATTAAATCACCAAAATCACCGTTTAATAAAATAATCGAACGTTTCGTTCAGTCTATTGTGCAGGCGAACGATTCCAGCAATTTTGATAATAGCTTCGAAGTTAAAGATATTCAGTGTACAAGGTCATCTAGACAAGAAAATCGTTGCGTTACATCAAAAAGTGATAAAGAATTGATGCGTTTCGCTCGGGAATTCGAAATATGTCAAATCAACAGCGGAAGCAATCGATCAACGCCAAAAACGTCACCTTATCTATGCCGTAAGGCTAAAGCTTTCTATGAAAATCTATTCATTAGAGCTTCCAGTAGCCGTGAATCATCACCGAAACCAGCTAATAACGATACACGTCGTGTTAATGCTTGCGGCAATGATGATAGCAATGAAATGTCTCCCCTAGCGTTTCACCGAACTTACTCGGAACGTAGCAGTAGTCGTTCCGCGAAAGTTTTGCAACTATTTGTTAATAAAAAAGTAGCAAATAAAAATAATTGCAATGCAATTTCTAGCAGTCACCACTCACCCGTTCTTATGAGAGCTCAAGTAGAAAGCGATTTTGTCGATTGTTCAAATACGGAAGGATATGTCGAATATCAAGACGATGAAATCTCTCTAAATGACAGCAATTGCTCGAGCAGTTCTTATGAATTGCATCCACCGCTTTTGCCTACATTTAAAGTAACCCCTTCCAAATACATGGGCAGAAGGTCACAAGGCGCCACCACTGAGTTGGCGCAATTCTTACGCTGTTCCTTTCACGCTAAACGCGCCAATATTGCACACTTACGACGGTCGTTAAGCGATACAAACAATTTTCAAAACGTTAACTTCAATATCAAGCTGCAAAAGTCGCCACCTCCCTTTCCCTGTTTAAGCACCCAGAAGCAAATTTTAGCCAACACAACTTATGATCATCATCGGGAAAACACTGCAACACACGTGAGTCATTCAACTTTTCCATTTTTATATGAATACATAAAATGCATGGTTAATCTACGCATACACATAAAAATACATAGTAATGGGATTGCAAGAGTAGCCAGTTTTTATTAAAGGCTTTAAGAAACTCTATGAACCGTAGAAAGTGTTATCTTGACCTTTGTTTGGGAGTAGGAAAGAAGAGAATAGAACAATAATATTTGAGGAGGTTACTAAGTGTACTCAGTCAATAAGTGTCAAAATTTCATAACATTTTGATCGTTAGTTTACAAGGTAAAGTCGTTTTTGCGCCCCTACTTCTTTAGCCGCTTTCGCCGATTTATGTCACTCAATAAGTTCTCGGCCCTGCTTTTTGGTTGCTTTGAATGGCTTTCGCCCATTCTCTTCAGCCACTCAGCACAATAGGGAATTGCTCCGATGTTAATAGACCATATCAAATTGCAATACGACTAAAATTTTAATACTTTTTTCAAAATTATTAACGAAATGAATTTAAAATAATAATTTATATTTGAAAAAGTGCAATTTATTGAAAACACTATAACGTACTTATATAGAGCCGTTATTTAAAATATTTCTAATACACGTTTTCTTAAGCCTTCAATTACTTCCCTAAAAATAAAATTCAAATAAACGAATTGAAATCCTTATTTCTAGATAATAAATCTCCTAAAAGAGTTCCTTCACTGCCGTTGTTAACAGAAAATCAACAAACATTAGAGGCTTGCATGTATTTTCATCATATTTTCACTTGGAAAAGGCATTTCTTGAGAAAAATTACAAAATGAAATTGAAATCGAAATATTTTCCATAATTTTTTACAAATTTTTCCGACCTCTCTAGCGATACCTGTTTGCAGCGATCTAATCATTAACCTATTTGTTCACATCGTCAGCATTTGAAAACCGCGTGCTCACGAAGCCATGCATCGATCTGAACAAGGGAACAATTAAAACTCGCTATGGCAATTACGCTGGGTGCGGCAGAACTTCCCATTCGAGCCACAAATGTGTATCCTTGACAACTTTTGCAACATGTGGATGAGGATGACTTTGCGTCTGTTGTTTGCCTTTTTTGCCACAATACATCATTCAATTTGTTCAATTGACGTCGGTAATCACCATTAGGTTTTACTAGTTCGTAATACACCACACTTTGTTGATCACAGCACATGTGCAGCCAAACTTTATGGCTATGAACATTCCGCTTCGGTGTCGATTTGGATAGCTCTCCTGGACCAACTCATAAGTTTTTACGCTTGGGGTTTTCGCAATCGATCGTCAATCACAATATCTCAGAGAAAATGCTTCTTTTTTTAACTGACAAGCCATGAAACCACGATGTTGAAGAGGTTAGAAAAGGCATTTTCAATTCGTATGGTAGTCTTTTCCCTACCTTTTCGATCTTTCCCATCGTAAGAAAATATCTGTACGAAAATTCGTTGAGCGTTTGAACTGGGTTTACGTCCAATAAGTCTTGCCATTCGTTGTCTTCAAACGTGATTGGTTCTCCTGGTCGTTGTTTGTCATTGACGTGAAAATCTCCACTTTTAAAACATTGGTATCGAAATCGACATGATGAGGATATAAAGGAGTAGCGTCACCATAAGCTAATGAAACTATTCGCTGGGCCTCAGCAACAGATTTCTTCAAATCATGCAACAAAAGTAATGATTGTCGAACTTGAAATTTTGAGCGTTCCGTGGCTAACGTTTGTATACACTGAATAACTCAACCTTGCTAAATGCAAAGCTGATTTTTTATGTTCCGCACATTGATACTGCACATCAGTTTATCATTTTCACCAACATGCAGATATCACTGATCAAAATTGCTAAAGTGGTCAAAAGTTGTTTGTTGATCCGTTCGAGAATTGGAAGACTTAAGCCGAATGATTAATTGATTTTAAGAGCTCTTGCTAGTAAACATTCAAATCTTTTCTTAAATAGTCTCGTGTTTCATGTACTTTTTGTAAAAGTATTCTAAGCAAAACATCTAGACGCTTGGGTGAAACTAACGCACCGAGCAAAATAGTGAATAGATAAACGGACGAAAAAAAGACTACCGACTTGCTCAGCCAGCTGGTAGAAGAGCAGACCGTAATAAGAAAAGCGAAATGGAGCATGTGGAGCAGACGGACGGATACCGAGACGAACGACTGACTCAATCCGTTAGACGGACGGGCGGTTTGACAGGTACATGGGCACGTCCCTAAATCATTTGGATAGGAACCCAGTCGACGTATATGAGCTAATCACCGAGATTAGTTGATCGGCATTATCATTTCTCAAACGGTAAATAGCACACATCGCAATGAGGCGAATGTATACACATTCATTACAAATGTTAAATTTCAATTATAGCATCGAAAATTCAAATGGAAGTTTTTATTGTTGTAATAGTCAATTAATTGTTGAATGATTGTATTTAATTTGTTGACCATTACCACCCGCCTCGCCTAACGAGCAATTGGAGAAAAACAATACTTAAACAAATACATAGGTACACATATATATACTTATCGAAATTATAAGCACACGTTTGCATGGTATTGTGCCAAAGATAACAATATTTCGTATTTACGGTTTGAACGAGACTCGCCCCATAAGCATACACTAGTACGTGTGCTTGCGCACACCTAAACAAAAAAAAAAATACGTCACAGACTTTGCGTATAAATTCTCAGCGATCTTCGGTAATAAAACGAGAGAAAGCTTACTTGCAAAATCCGAAGAAATTAAGTCAACGAGAAATAGTTTCAATTCTTCCATCAAAATCGTTAGTAAACAGACTTTTACCATATACAAAGCAAACCTTAGTGTACGTGCAACTTCCATTTATATGCAGACATATCCAACACGCTTCTCGGCGAAAGACAACTCAACTCTGCTCCACCAGAAAATGCTTAAAAAATGCTTTACTGTTTACCATCTCTAACTATCCTCGAACAAGCAATTTTTATCATTTACTTTTTAAGCCAAAGTCGCGATATTTAATCAGCGTAAAATGTGAAAACCTTGACGAAGTCTGTGTCTCTGCGGTAGTCTCGATACTGTCTTACAACAAAATTCTAGAAGAAGTCGCTATTCAAACTATACATCGTGTTTTGCTTTCAAAGCGCAAATCAACCAAGGTTTCCCGATTTCGCACAAGCTTAAGTTTTATATTCCAGCTGATCGAAAGGTGTGGAGAAAATTAAAGAAAATAAATGGAACTCGTAAAATTGTTTTCTATCCCAAGATAGAAAACAACGCGTTTGGCAATGATTTCTTGGGTTCATGTTGACTATGAAAGCTCTGATAACGGAATAACACCTAAGCAGAGACATAGACCAGGAATTAAAAGTTATTTTGTTAGGGACTTGAAAAATTCTCAAAATGTCTTGACAACGAGTATTTTAAAGCGAGAAATTTTAAAATGCTTGGTGGAATAAAAATACAGGCTGCTAGACATGCTTCTAATTGCAAAATTTTTGAGGAAGCAGACTTAATCTCACTATTAAAAAAGAATTGGGCATTGCAAGGAAGGCCCCCATAAATTTTAATTCTTGTACAGAACAGCAATCAGCACAAATGTTCGCGTATTTTAATTATGTCTCTTACATTAGAAACTTTCTATATATTCGCCAATTGAAAGACCTTCTGTAGTTAGCTCCTCGTCGCGAGGCGTTGGTCCTCGTATTGGCTCCCGCAAAAAGTTTACCAAAAATGCAGTGAATACGGGCGTGGCTTCGAAAAGATTATAAATTGGTTATATTCCAACATTTCTTGGGCAATGCAAGTATTCAAAAAAATAAATAGACGGTCAGGCGAATATAGGTAACTTATGTCAGATAGTAGGACGGCTTTATAGACAGAAATAGCTATATATTACAGAAGATATCGTAAAATTAATACATCTCTTTGTAGATATGCAGATATGTAGAGCACAATAGTATTGCAATAGCCATGGGTAGAAGAAAAATTCATTCCAAGTCATTGTTTTCAATTCTCCCAGAGGAAATTATTTTCCTCTCATATTTACTTACTCTCTCTCTCGCTCTCTCTCTTTCTCTCTCCCTGTAATCAACATTTGCAACTTCCTCCCACCACACGGTTGAGTTTACACACAGTGTGTACCAGAGTACCAGTAAGAATACAGATATTTACTCAGCTATTTGAAATTTTCACACGAGAGTGCAAGGAATGAGAATTCAACTGATCTTTACTTATTTGTGTTTTAAATGTAGCTACGTATGTGCTTATATGGCAATTAAATCCATCAAATGTGAGAATGGATTTCACAGTTGTAGTTTGTACTCTGAAGTTATTGTACTGTGTATTATATAGTACGAATGAAAGTGACGTTGAGGTGACTTCTATAACTATAAAAACAAATTTCCATACATAAGAATGTACTCACATTAACTGCCGGAGTTTTGTGTAAAACGTAATTAAAATAAATTATTTGATTCTTTCTTTTTTTTTTTTTTCTTATTCATGAATGAGTTATAGCCCAGTTTTCAAAAAAAGTATCTGTAAAATGGCTGAAATTAAATGAAATTTATATGTCGGTACAAACGTCAGTGCTTTATCTGCGTATCTACGTACACGCTGATGACAATAATGATATATTGTCTATTACTACGATCGTTTTGTTAAAGAAAGATAATCGGAAAAAATGAATGCTGCAAATCTAATAATATATGCAAAAATAAATAAAGGGAACCATTGACCTATAGCCTTTGTCAGAATTGTCCACAATTATCGGCCGGTTTTATACCCTATCACCGGTAATAATGGCGATCACATTAATTTTCTCTTTTTTGGATGGGGGCTTTATTCTCGATTTTGTTCCAAGACGATTAGAATATCACCTTAAGACCTATTCATACGTTCATCCAAAACACGAATCTTTCAGTCCGAACTGAATGCCCTCTTATGATCCATATATTTCTTTTTCAAGACGACCTTTAAGTCCGAGAATTAGTGACCAGGTTTGATCTCATAATCCGATCGGAGCCACACTAAGTGGTGTGGACTAGCCTATCAACTAGAATACCCATTTCTTATTCTTGCCGGTATATATGTGTATTGTGTCGTAAATCTAGCTTATTTATTTAATTAACTTTGATTTAGTTTATGTACTTCCGTTTTCTCCACCTCATGATTTTTCTAGTCTGCGAGTGCAATCATTACTCACTTTCGAATTAATGGCAATAGTATCTACTCTGTTCCTCAATATCTGCCCCTCTGTTTACGCAATTGTCGAGCTATTTTCTTCTTTTACTGCATAAATACTTTGTATAAAACTTTTATATACAAACACATTGTCTTTCCCATACTTTTTCTCCACAAAAACTTTACTTCGTATTTTTTTAAAAAGAAAATTTAGAAAGTATGTTCAAAAAAGTGATTCAATGAATGAATGGCAATTGGAAACTGCACCCAGCTCTTTTTTTACAAGAATTATTCTTAGAAATTGGTGCAAAAAAGTCGTGTAGAAAGGTATATGCAATTTATGGTAAATTTGGGGATCCGTTCTACAACCTTAACAAATCGTATAAAATGAAAAGCCCCAAATATTTTCCCAGAAAATTGCGCAAATGAATAATAATGCAATCTATTCTACATTTTATAAAACAAAAAAAAATCATTTCTATTGCAAAAATGATCTAAAATCAGTGTACAATGAAAATTCAGTCAGTACACCACGCAAAAATTTCAATTTCAACTAGGAATAAAAATGAATTTCCCAACTTTAGGTAGCATATGCGCGCACAAAAGCGACTGACTTCTGATCACAGTATTCCCTAAATAGAATGCTGTTGATGTATATACAAGTTTCGGTGAGATATTGTCAACATTAGAATGTATTTCAAAGTCGTGCAAAAAAGACTGTGTAAAGAAAGGGTTGGGTGGTATTTCAAATGAAAGCACTTATAAAGTTATGGCTTGCTTTTGATTTCCTTCTTGACAGTGGGATTTAAAAACCATATTCTTAAGTAGGCACTCAGTTCTATTCGTCTTCTGAGGACAGAAGAAAGGAAGGAATTGATATTTCTTTCTAAGAAATTTTTAAAAATGCATTTGTTATGTTTAGGATCCAACCGTGAGAATTTTTCAGTGTTAATTATCTGATTGCCAACATTTCATGTTAAATCTCAAAGTGGATGCATTAAATCATTTTTTGAGGTAAGAAAAAAGATCACTTCTGAAGACTCTGAGTAAGCTGAATACGCTGTCAAAACGTTTTTTTTAATTGTGATAATGGCACATATCGTCGTGAACGATGAAGACGTAGTTCAATCAAATTAGAAAGTGCTAGCTTTTGAAGCTTAAAGCCTATACATTGGCATAGACTCTAAAATCTGAAATTAAGTAAATTATAAAATTGAAGAAATATGTTCAGGAATTCAATACAAAGGGGTCTATAGAGGTGCTGATTATCAAAAACTCAGCTAAAACTGATGTATTGCTTGTTTTTGATGATTTAAAAAATAAATTTTTTTCTGCCCATTTAAATGTACATATTTATTATTACTATGTTGATTTGTTAATGTGTCCGCATCAACACACATCTAAACAAATATGTAAACGGGCGACCCAAATTTTGCTGTGTCTGTCTGTTTAGCAACTAATAAGCTTTCAGAGATAATAAGCAGATATAAGCGCAAAAATACGCATATGTGCGCTTGAATACAACCGCCAAACAAGCATATATACAAGTTGGGTTCAAGCAGCTCGACTGTAAATCTCTATCGCAGTTCATCGGTGATCGAAAAAAACGTTACGTCTATTAAGATATAATAACAAGCAGCTATTTATTGCATCATTACTATTCTACAGTAGTCAGAAGAAGTTGTTGTTGTTGCAACATGGCTATATGCGTGCTACGCATACGAGTGCATGCATAAGAGCCTTTACATATGCTTAATAAATGTATTTTTTTTACAGAACTGCAGTTCAAATTCCAATACTTCACCGTTTCGACGTCGTTGGGGTCAGTCGTTGTTACGGCTATCTAGTCCAAGCAAAGAGACACTACAAAATAAATCGCACTCTGTAACTTTCGTACATCGTGCGGCCTCTATGACAACAACGACAAATGATGTGTTTACCAAGAACTTACTGGGTGTTAATGGAGATGAATATCACAAGCAAGAAGACAACAATAGTGTACCGTCCCGGCGCGTTGGCCCTGTTTCATCGTGGGCTATCTCTTTCGAGCAGCTATTGGAAGATACCGCCGGTCTTAAAGCGTTTGCAGAATTCCTGAAATTAGAATATTCTGCTGAAAATATATTCTTTTGGACTGCATGTGAGCGTTATCGTCTTTTGGAAAACGAGAGCGAAAGAGTTGAGCAAGCGAAAAATATATTTTACAAACATTTAGCTAACGGTTCGTCAGAGCCCGTCAATGTTGACTCTCAGGCTCGTAATCTTAGCGAAGGAACACTTGACAGTGCTCAACGCGACGTTTTCGCTCCCGCGCAAAAGCAAATATTTAATCTAATGAAATTTGACAGCTATCCACGTTTTATACGTTCCAATTTATATAGGAGTTGTTTGCAAGCCGAAGAAAAAGGTGAACCTCTACCTTTGAGCGGAGACAATTTGGATGAATTATTCAAGATAGGCTTCTTGCCAACGAATTCCTCAAAGGTAAAATAATCTTTCAAAATCCGTGAGTAAAATCCCTAGTCGAATTTGATTTTCAGTTGAAAAAATCGGCCAGCAATGCAGAAGATCGCCGCCGTAAGAGTCTACTACCTTGGCATCGTAAGACCAGAAGTAAATCACGAGAACGCATCGATGATATGAACCAAAGATCAATTGAAGCAACTTCTACGAATTTAACAAATGCGACTAATACGTTATTAGTGCCACCCTCCAAAATTCCTCTCGTAGTGGGTAGCTCACTCAGACACAGCTCCATTAATGATTTCCAAAGTTCGCGTTCATCTGTTTCGTCGTTAGATAACTTACCCATATTACCTCTAGATACAGCCTGTGCCCTTTGCCGTGTAAAGTTCACTGATGGTGCCACAACTATGGTACAAACTAAATCGGGGGAGACCGTGGGTCAATTGGTCGAACGTCTTCTTGAAAAACGCGGAATCCGTTATAGGTCCTATGATGTTGTAATAAAAGGCAATAACAGGTCGATAGATTTGCAAGCTTCTACCCAAGAAATAGCTGGGAAAGAAATAGAAGTTGAGCAACGTGCAGCTTTTAAATTAGATTTGCCAAATCCAAAAGTGATATCAGTGAAAAGCAAACCAAAGAAACTTCTTTACGAAGTCGTCAAACCTATCCTAAGCAAATATAATTACGAGATTCAAGCCGTGGAAGTTTTACGGCGTGATACTCAGGAAAAAATTGACCTAATGCAACCAGTAACTGCAGTAGATGGTCAACGCCTACAAGTCGTTCCAATGCAAGGAGCAAAATCTGAGCAAAGCAATTATTTGAACGATGAGATAGCGAAAAAGCTCAATACGAATCAACAGAAAAGTATAACATATCCAGCTGCAATTATTAGTCAGCAGGCAGCAAATATTGTAGCGTCACGCAAGGGAATAAATATTTCAACTAAAATCGCGAACAATTTGCCTCAAAGCAATATAAAGGAAATAACAAATAAGATTTTTAAAGATGTCATGCAAAAAAATCAACCCGAAACCAAACCCCTCACGCAAGCCACTGATCAAATCTCTTTAAAAGTAATTTTTTCTATCATAATAAATGAGAGCAATAATGAATGATATCCGCTTTCTTTCCCTTTCCGTTATGTATTATGTATAGTCCGACGGTTGTAATTCGAACTCTTCTTCACTATTTGAGCTTACTTGTGGAAAGCCAGATTCCACTTCTGGTCTTCCGTTACAAGTTAAAAGAACATCGACCAGCAGCCAGCATTCTACGGACATAAATCCAACAAACACAAATATTAAGAAACCAATCATAGCCAAATTAAAGGCTGGAGTTAAATTACAAGTTACCGAACGAGTAAATGAGAATCAAGGTAAACTATTAAAACTATATAAATAGCTTTGTAAAACTTTAGTAACCAACTCAATGATTAATAACAATGATTAAGAACATATACCAGAAAGCCCTAAAAAGGAGCAGCAATCGTTGCGGGCAGAAGTCCAGAAACTCAGCGATCTTATTATTGAACAACCTAAAAGTGAGAAAGACCTGAGTGCACAACTACGCCAAATGCGTGCGAATTTGTTCACGGTTGCCAAAAATAATTTACCGACGTCCGTAACAAACTGTGAGGACGCTTTAAGGTTTGTGGAAAAGCCTCAACCGGTGCCAAGATTATCTATAACTAGTAAAGCTAAGCCGACAGTAATTATACCTGCGAAAGGGTCTGCGGAAAACACAAGGCAAGTTACTGATAATGTCGAAGATCCGTATATAGCTAACAAAGATCCACCTCCATTGCCGCCAAAACCGAAAGTGCTACCAACTAAACCATCTAACTGGGGCGTAAACATTGCCAATATGAACAAAGCAACATCACCTACTAACTAAAATTTAAAGACTGCAGCCGTGCAATTGCGCTCTGATTATTTACAATTTTATAATCTAAAAATATTATTAATATTATGTCAAGTAGATGCTCTAGATAACCTTTATTTCCTCGCATTATTACTTTGCAAAGCACTTGTATTTCCTTAATAATATAAAAATAAAGAAACATTTTTTATTAAATGAAAAACTCCACTTTTATCACATAAGTTATGGGACGAGTTGATGGGGAAGTAACTCACCGGTCTTTAAATTACTTGCCATAGATATGCCGAATAACGATCAATTACAAATGGTCAAAAAAAAGCTTTATTTTGCTTAACGTTGGTGTTTTAATTGAAATGAGAAAACTGATCTTTATTCACGGGAAAAAGTTCACTTTTCTTATGAATACACAATTACTTTTAAACACCAATCGGAGACTGCTTTCAGGCCATGAGAAATTCACATAGTTTCAGTTTCATGAGCGCAAGCAGCGTTACTTCAATCTGATAAACTCTACACAAAATGGCATATAAAACATGAAAGAATCTGCTGGACACCTACTTTTGGTATCAAAGATTTAAAGTTACGACTTCGTGCGCATTTATGAAAAATTCTACGTCAATACGATAGACAGCGGCCAAGGCGTACAAGTATTTACGAAATATATCCCAATAAAGTTCGTCACCAGAAAAAGAATGACGTATGAAAAATGCTCCAGTTTTCCGTAGCATCGTAATCATTGCAAACAGAGAATAAAAATCCTTAAGAAAAAGATCGAGGTGTGGTTTTAAGAAAAGCTTACAGGTTTTAATGCAATTATACAAACTTACCCATTCCACCGATATCATAATAAAAGTATACCAATACCATCCTTTCTTGCACCACCACAGCTTTCTGTGCCACCTCCGTCGTCACTTGTTTCAGTTTGAATATTTTTATTCAATGCCGATGGTTTCAGTCTGACTCACTATCGTCATCTACATATCTATTATCGACATCATCTTCCGAATCACTAGCTTGCTATCTTCCGTCGCTTTCTGGCAAACCTTGTAACAAGCCATCATCTTTTTCCATTTATTCGACTTCCTCTACCATCGATGGACTTATAGTCAGAACGATCATTTGGATTCTCTGATGACTGTTGCAAAAACATTTGATTTTTCTTTATGTAGACATAGACGCTCAACAGTCTATTTACGATAATTTATGTAATTTAATTGAACAATTCACTTCTCCTTCTTTTTTTGTTCACCGTATTATATCTTTACCATATTTTTCTGCTAAAAAAATAAGAAATACAAACAAATCAAGAAGAAAAAAAATGCTTCCTTTTGTTTAGTTACCGAATTACCATCTACACTAATGCCTCCTACCACCACTAAGCCGTTATGAGAATGCGTTATCGATTATATCGATAACGGAATTTGTAAGGGCAAGGCTAAGATGCCGATTAATGAAGAAGACAAAAAGCAACCCTTAAAAGTAAAAGAAAATTTGTTACTATTTGTTATGATATAATATTTAAAATATTAACTCACCAAACCCATAACGTTTTTTTTTTCATACAATTTTTTCACGGTTTTCCACACCACCTTGAGCTACCGTGGCAGGCGCGTCGCCAATTATTTTAAACAGCTGGCATCGGCTGGTTTAACTTTAGCTAAACATATAAATAATATAAATAAATAATACATGTAACATAACGCAGCGTAACTGTGTTGGGCGGTGTGTTGATATCTGAAATAGAACAATTTAGTGATAACCGAATTTTCCTGTAAATTATGAGCACAAACTTACCAATGGCTTACGACTTTTTTAGGCGCCTCCGTCTCGCTATTGCTATCAACTTAATCCGCTATTTCTGGCCGTTGATCTTTAATCCGTTGGACTTCCTTCTGCATGGCTTACACTTCCGTCTTGAGGCGCCGATTTCCCCCTATTAGCGCTGTCTGAACCGATGTAGAGGGTGCTAAGCAGGGTCCAAAACCAGGGCGGCTTGCTACGTCTATGCTATTCTCTATCCTATCTCGCACCTTCATCAGTTCTTCTAATTACTACTACCTACCTAATACTATTACTCTACCTATCTCGCCTGTTTCGTATTCGTCAAATCCTACAAAGTCTTCATTAATGTCGCTGCCACTGTTTGTATTGTGTGTTCTGTGTTTTGCCCGTCTGCTATCAGTTGTTTCGTTAGAGTCTGCACAGCGCGCAACATGCCGAACTGCACGGCAAACCACCAGACTGATTTGCGAACAGTGCTCTGTCTATTATCTAACTTCCTCAATTTATACCTAAGCAAGTCCAGCTTGCGCCTAAGTGTGACTTCGAGAGCTGCATGACCAAGCTTCTCGTTAAGTTCGTCAACTACGTCCTGCCACCCTTGTCTTTCTTCTTGTTTCCTATACCCCACCCCACAAGATGGGGTATTTTTTCAAAATTTCTGAAAACATTATATCCGGTATAAATGCCAGAGTTATATATAATTATACTTATACTTAAATATTATAGTAATAAATATATATAATAATAAAATGTGATAAATAAAAAATATGAATAATAATAAATATGAAAAAACGGAAAAGATGAACCCGAAAAGAAACGTGAAAAATTATTATTATTTTAGACTAATGAAATAAATTCTTAGACTAAAAAAAACACATAAGCTATCGTCTCTTATCTATAAAAGTACGTTAGATATTGAACCTAGCAGTTTTAGTAAAATAATATATTGTATTGATATTTTGTTCTATAGCTGATTGTAGAATGTCGATAGGGTTAATCGTTCCAAATATACTAGCCAAGGAAAAGTTAGGGCAGTCGCAGAGAACGTGCTTTATAGTGAGAATGAAAAATTAAATGAATTACTTAAACTGCAGGACAATTTTAAATTTATCACACTATGTTTTTAATCAAATTCAATTTTTTTTATTATTATTTTACACTTTTTGCATTGGTTAAGACGTCACTTATATAATTTATGATACTAGTTTCGTCAGGATTATGTCGTGTTTCTAGAACTTGGTGCTCTCCAAATTTTTTTTTTTACTTTTTTTTTTAACACACGAAGAACTGTTTCTAGAACTTTAATCAACGTCTAGAAAACAGTTCTGCTTAAAATGGAATACTTTAGAACTAATATCAACTTCTAAAGGTTCCTTTGAAATCAAAGACTTATAGATAAAATTCTTATTGTTAATCATAGTAAATCCGAGTAAAATTTAAGGCAATCCGTAGGTAATTTATAAATGTCTGTTATTTTCTAACTTATGTTCCTTCAAATGATATTTTAACCGACTAAACGCGACCCACCACGAAGTAATGTAATGTATAAACATCTATATATTGTGCCAAAGTCGTCCCTCGTTTTAACCTCACAAATTCTTCGTCTCTGAGGAGGGAGCGCTAAGCCAAGTTAGGTTAAGAATTAGTGTTAGGTAAAGAGGAGAGAGAAAAAATCAAAAACGTATTATTAGAGAATAGAGGAGTACGCTTTGAGCTGGCAAAGCGAATACCATTATTGAGGATGATTGTAAGCGAAATTGAAAAATTAATAAATAAAATGAAAACTTCTGAATGCTGAAAACATTTGAAGAGAAACATCAAAAAACATAAAATTCTTGTGAGTCAAAGACTGTTGCCGCTGAGCCTACCCCAGCATTAGGAATGGGGCAAAGGTCCTCATAATATTTATCTATTTATATCTATATATATATAAAAATTCAGAGAAAACATACAATATTCCTAAATAAGTTGAGAACTTCTACTTCTTTGAATATATTCAAGACGTGAAATCCGATTATTTTCTTTGCCTAAAAAGAAACTCCCAAAAAAAATTTCGTTTTTTTCTGAACATGGAAGTTTGCTCAATATTTTCGCTTTTATGTTTATGTGTACGTATGCCTACGTAATTTACACCCTCTTTATTAAATATATTAAAATTTGATTATTAATTCATCAATTAATTTTACAAAAATCTTAAATTCTTCTATTAGTGGTTATAAAAGAAAATCTACAAACTCCTAGGAAACTTCGAACTTCATGCCAATTGGTTTATCGTGACCACTCTTTTACTGCTCTGATTTTCTCTTCATTCGTATGAATTCCAGTTGTGGACATATCTTGTGCCCAAGATATGTCACTTTCTTCTCGAAGAACATACGTTTCTCGCTACTCAATTTTAAACCTGCTGCCTATATATATATAAAAATATTTGCCGGATTTTTTAGATATTTCTTGAAATCTTTACCCATGAAAATAATTTCATCCAAATAGACCAGGCATGTCTTCCAGTGCAGCCCATTTAGCATGCAGTCCATTAGGCGCTCAAATGTGGCAGGCGCATTGCATTAATCCAAACGTCATTACGGTAAACTGATATAAGCCGTCGCCAGCGGAAAACGCGGTTTTTTCTTTGCCATGTTCGGCGACCTCCACCTGCCAATACCCACACTTCAAATCTAAGGTCGAGAACCATTGTGAACCTAACAATGTGTCTAAGGTGTCGTCGATCCTATACTTCTTGGTCATTTCGTTCAATTTCCTATAATTCACACAAAATATGGTAGACCCATCTTTTTTTTAACAAGAACTACTGGCGAACACCAACCGCCAATCGATGGTTCGATAACTTTTCGTTCTTGCATATCTTTGATTAAGTCCACCACTTCTCCTCTTATTATCAGTGGAATTCTTGTAGGCCGTTGCCGAATCGGATCAGCTCCTGCAGTGTTGATTACATGTTTCGCATTAGTACGGCCGCCCGAAGTTGCATCGCCGGCAAAGATGGACTACTTTTGCAGCAAAATTTTTTGGAATATTTCTTCTGCTGCTCATCTAAATCGCTGGTCCATCTTTTTGTGAGAATTTCAGTCTCTGGGGATATCTTTGAGCATGTTTTTGGTATTTCGACTTGATGATTTACCACATATTCGTCTTTTCGGCATTGCGCTATAATGTCCCCTTTGGGTACTTTTGTTGTAACGGTGGTGGGGTTTAATAGCCGTACTGGTATTAAATTGTTGACCTGTGACCTGTGAGACGACCGCTTTTCCAATGATGCTGTTGTCTATCGTATATCCTTTATTCGGCTCGACAACCCATATCTTGTTTAGCTCTTGGGTAGCTGCGGCCCACACTATTGCTTCGGAGTTTGGAGGGATCTTCTGTTGCCGTTGTACTACAACTTGTAACACTTTGGCTTGTCTGTCGTATCCTACAGTCAATGCCAAAGTCACATTAGCGTATTCTAACACTTGCCTTTTCATACGCAATATGAAGGCATGTTTTGCCATAAAATCCATCCCCAATATCACCTCGTCGATTATATCTGCTACCAGAAATTCATCCTTCATCAAAACGTCGTTAATCGAAATGTTTCTCATACTTTACACTTAATAGCAGCTTCCTCGCCTGTTGCCGCCCGAAACCATGCTCCAATTAACGGGTCGAATTTCCTTTGGCCTGTTGATAATTGAATGAGAAGGACCAGTGTCCAGCGTGATGATGTAATTACAGTCCTGAACCTTCCCATCGATCGTTAGGTTGCTGTTGCTTCTTTTTGATTGAGTAACAGCGACCCTAGAACTACTAAATTTCTGAGTCAGACGTAGCCTCGCTGTGCTGACTCTTTTTAGTTTAACACTTGTTCGTTGGATATTTCGCTGGCACCTTCACTCTGTTCCGTGTAAGTGATGTGGAGTGTGTTTTTTTGTGCTTTGATCGGCATTCCCGTGCAAAATGACCGGGCTTTTGGCAGACATAACCCCTGCGTATTTTTGACGACAGCATTTACTTATTTTCGCGCAGGGCTTGTCGAACCGCCGCGCAGACCGCGTCTGAGATATCGTTCTCGCTGGTAGCTTCCGTGCGTCTCACTTTCATGCTTGACGTCTATAGCACACTAGCTGCTTCTTGGGTAAGCACGAAGACAAGCGTGTCCGTAAACGTCGTTTTAGGTGATGTCCATACAGTTTTTTTAAGTTCCGCGTCACGAAGTCCTTTAACAAAGGCGTCGATTTTTAATCTCTCTAGCACGACGTTGGGCACACCAGTATACGCGAAACTGGCCAGGCGTTCGACATCGGTGGCATAATCTTGGATCCTTTCGTTCAGCTGCTGGCAGCGCGAAGGCAACTCTAAGTGACTTACTTCCTTCACATGTTTGGTAGTAGATTTCCTTTTCCATGCATCCATAATTCCCGCGAATTCCGTTTCTTTCCTTCCGGAATTATCTGGATAATTTCCGCTGCTGCTCCTCTCAAGGAGGTTATTAAGGCGACTGCTTTCTCGTCATCATCCCACATATTTTTTGTTTCAAAAACACCAAATAGTAGCTTGAATGCGTTGAAGTTAGTGGTGCCATCAAATAGGGGTGTTTTTACTTTGATAGAGCTGGTGGTTACGTCATTAGTTTGTAGCTTAGCCACTTATTTTTTTAAGGCTTTTATTTCACTTTTCACGCCGTCTGCGTCTTCTTGCTGAGTATTTATTCTGGCATCCAACTGACCTATCGCATTATCAACTTTTTCTTCCAGCACATTAACTTTGCGTTGCAATTGATGATAAATTCCAATCATTGGAATTTACTTAGGGTCATAATAGAAGAAAGTTATAATCGGGTTGTCATGAATTTTATTCAAACGCAGATTAGAAGCAATTGGTATCTTACGTTGCATTGTAAGAAAATTATTTTAGTTTATTTCATAGCTTTTCACATAACTAACTCAGCTTCATTAAGCAAGACGAAATTTAGTCACTTCTTGAGGCCAATGCTCTAGTATATATCGGCATTTCAATGAATGATGATCATATTACAAAACGCTATTGATAAATGAAATGTCTGTTTGCACAGATTAATCATTTAACAGACGTATGTTTTAAGTTTTGAATTCAATGCTTGTAGAGTGTTGGGTTACAAATGCGATTTCCCGAGTCACGTGATGATATGCCTACTATTCATTTCTAAAATGACAGAAGAAACGCAGATTTTAGTGTTAGCATTTAAGAATTCCGCTTTACTCACTTGTACCATTGCACACTATTTTAATGCGATTAGGATGATAATGATGTTCGGATGTTTTAAACAAGTATACGGGTGTGCATATATAAGTCTTACAAAAGAATTTTGAATTGATCATTTATTTTTTGATATCAAATCATGAAAATTTTATGTATTTGGGATACTTTAAGGAAGTTTAATGGAAGCTCCGAACATTATGTTGCTAAACTATTATAAACAAAATCAACTTCTATCGAAGATATATTAAAGTAAAAAAAATAAATAAATAAAATTAAAATAGAATAAAAAAATATTGATTTTGAGCGTGAGCATGAGCGTCTTGAACTTTTTTCATCATCGAGCTAAGTCTACTATAATATTTGTAATAGTGCAGCGGCATATGTCTGTCGACTAACTTCACTCTTTTATAATTTTTATGTAAGCAGACATTTTCAAATTAAATTTTTTTCTTCAATTTTAAACCGTATATAGCAAGCGAAACTATGCGGAAAAACCCAAAAAATTGAAAGAAATATTGAAATTAAAAAATGTTCGAATAGGAGTAACATTGCAATGTTTCTGCAAACTTTGATTTATCAAGCGAGTGTTCGCAGTCTTCACAATCCTCTCGAGCATAAAGTACACATTTTTATGCATATCAATTGAAAAGTACACAAACATATTTTTTTGCATAACTTGTGCTTTAGAAGAAGGTTTTGGTTTTATATTTCATGAATACAATTTTTAACGCGTATAAAAACAATATTTTTGATATAACAAAAAATCCGCGTTATACAATATTAAATCATTTCTCTCTTCCATGTCAGTTTTTCATTTCGAATTCAACTACTAGGCATTATTTTCTATGCAATATTAAATCATTTCTCTCTTTCAATTCAATTTCGCATTTCGAATTCAACTACCAGGCTTTCTTTACAGCTGTTTTTCCTTTCGAGTTCAACTATCAGGCATTATTTTCTGTGCAATATTAAATCATTTCTCTCTTTCATGTCAATTTCTCATTTCGAATTCAAGTAGCAGGCTTTCTTTACAGCTGTTTTTCCTTTCGAATTCAAGTACCAGGCATTATTTTCTATGCAATATTAAATCACTTCTCTCTTTCATGTCAATTTCTCATTTCGAATTCAAGTACCAGGCTTTCTTTACAGCTGTTTTTCCTTTCGAATTCAATTACCAGGCATTATTTTCTATGCAATATTAAATCATTTCTACTGATACCGGTTGACAAGACATCATCATACTTCCCCAGCATTACCAATAATAACAGTGATGAGAGTAATTCATTAGATTCAAAACATGCCACAGACTATGATTGCGGTGGGGATCCACTCAACTGTACCTCTTCAGGACTATCGTCAGAATTCGCCTCATCTTCAAGTACCTCTACAGAGAATTGTTCGCAACCGGCCACCACTTTGCCAGTACGACCTTATTCCATAGCTAGTGAAACGCTTGTCCAGGTCATTGTTGAGCAGCAACGCAATACAAACGGTAACAGCGAGCAAAGCAAATCATTGGATTCGGTTGCTACCGTAACACCTGAGGAAAAGAATCGTTGTTGCATTAATGAATTTTTAAATAAAATCGATAATACAATTTCCGAGTCGCATAAATGTGTGGAAAAGTCGAGAGAAAAATGAGCTTATGTAGAAGATATCTTAAAAAAAAAAAAAAAAATATATATATATATATACATATATATTCTTACTTCTTTAAAATATTAGAACGCAAATGTGTCGCGTACAAAATTCTCTGAAACGTTTGGAAACACAACAAGATGAATTTTTCGAGTTGCAGTATGCCCTAAATAAGATGACAGTAAAACTAATTTATGATATTATGATTCTTAGAGCAAACTTATTAAGTTAAACAAAAAAAAAAAATCTTGTTCCACTATGTGCGCATGTGGTTGCACTAAGCATACCAGGAAGATGGTTTCTACACTAAAGGCAATCTTTACAAATTTTATTTTATTAACTTCTTTGAGCTTTCGTTTTCATTCATTCTTCTTAAGAGTATAGTTGAAGGTGAGAAAAGTATGTTTTCATTACATTTAATAATTCTATCTATGTAAAAAAAAAAAAAAATTCTAAAGCTTTGGGTATTATTTTTAAATTTTAATTGTTAAGTTTGAAATATAAATAAGTTTACTTAAGCAAATTCTATCCAATCTTTTTAATTGCGATTATTTTTTCTTTATTCCTTTTGCGATATACTTTTATTCTGTCTTTTGAAATTTTAACGTATGCATGAAAGCATTTGATTTTTTATTTTTTTTCTTTTCATTAATTTAAATAAAGTATTACTCTCTTTGTCTTTTCTTTTGAAGAAATGATTTCGTTTTTTTATTTTTTTCATTCATTTTTTCAAAAACAACTCTATTGAATATACTAAATCATGCCAGATTTGAATACCATTACATGAAGAGTCTTAGAACGCTAGATAGTTCCGTTCTATTCGATCGAGATTAACTGGAAAATTTTTGTTAATAAAATGCACCGAAAATTATAAAATGAAAAATTAATATGAATAAAACGCTCGGCATAAGTCGATGACCGAAAATATGAAAATTCCATCTAGGCGACGATCCGTAGGCTTCAAGCCTTAAAGAATTTCTAACACTTAAAGCTTTTAATTCGCAAGTGCTGGTGAGTTTTTTTAGCCTTTTTTCTATTCATAACTAATTGTTATAGGGATCTACTAACAAAGGACTTTCGACGTTTGACCCTTGGTTCCTTTTGTCTGTTCTTGGCTGTAATCTAGTCTTGCTTGATACTTTCTTTTCATAATTATCGGCATCCGTCTAAAAGCGCGTTAAAAATAAAAACAATAGAAGAGAAATTGATAATGCAAAGGTTTTAAGATATTTCTAAATTTTTTAAAATTAAACAATTCTAAAAGTCACACGGTTACCTATCAGAAAGTTGGAACAACGTAGAAAATGATAGAACATTGAGACTGGTAGGTAAAAAGAATTCCTCATCATGCGAGTGAAATTTTCTTATATCTCTTTCATTGCTGTTGCGATTAAACTAAATATAGTTTAATGAAATAAATTCTCTTACTAAGGAGTAAAGTTTTTAACGCATCGCGCGCTAACGTTCTCAGAAAAATGAAAAATGGTGTAGTTAAAACGCCTTCCAAAACGCGATCCTCATTCGTAATCCTCATAAGCAACACGTGTTTTGCTCATTACTCATAAACTACAGTAAATAAGTGCACAAAAATTTAAGCGCATATTCTATGGACGATGTTTTAGTATTTGCACACAAAAATTGAAAGAATTGACCATGCCTACCCAATATCAAGCTTAAATGTTTTGTCAATAACTTTATAACGCGCAAAAATAAACTTCAAAGTATAAAGTATACAAATTTTTGGCAAGTTTCAAATTTGGAATGCACCTAAACATGTCCACTTTTTCGTCTGTCCATCTGTCTGTTTTCGCAACTTTGTGGTATTTTTGATAAACATTCTCCCGTTACCGAAAATGAAGATATCGCCTACAAATTTGCAAAATATTGATAGATTCAGTTTTGACACATTGGAAGATTCATGCACAAATCGTTGCAGCAAAAAATTCTTAAAAGACGACTGCATGAATCCAAAAAGATATTTTGTTTTTCAGATGCATATAGTAAAATTCCCTTACTACAAAGGCGAGTAGAAAGCACATTGAAAGCACAAGCGAATAATTTCGAAACGATGATGAGAGAACATAATAAAATTTTGGAAATAAAGTCGCTAAGAAATTTGGAAAAAGCAAAAATACTTAAATCGCTGTTTGTCATATGCAGGGATAATGTGATGAAAATATGTTGGGATCAACAGATATTGGTAACATCAATTAAAAGTGAATGCATGCGCAAACTCGAAGAAGCCGACGATAAACGATGGGAAAGTCAATTGGGATTTGAAAGACCCTTGAAGGAATTTGCAGAAGCGTTAAGCAAAAACAATAAAGAAAACCAAACACTACGCAATCGTAATATTGAAATGACTAAAACGTAAGTGAAAGGGCTTCAATTCAGAAAAAAAAAAGAAAATGTAAAATTTCAATTGGCTAGTTATTCTGAAATAGCTAGCTAGCAGAAATAGTCACACCAACCACACGTACTACATTATTTTTGTCGATTTTAGTATATATAAATATATAACTGATTCCAAGTTTTTTTAGTTTCAATAGAAATTCTTCGGTTTATTTCTTATAAAAAGCCGATAGCCTTAGATGCTAGTGCTTTTAAGAGTTTAGTCTTAGAACTTATTTCTCTGCCGAAATTAATAATAATAATAATAATAATAATAATAATATTTCTTATAAAAATATAACTGATTTCAACTTTTTTTGTTTTCAATAGAACTTCTTCGGTTTATTTCTTAGAAAAATACCCTTCAAGTGAACGAAATTTCATAAGCTTTTAACTACTAGTAGTTAACGTTAGTAATGGTGATCCTACTAATTTATCTTTGGTGATGTCCACATTTATGGCAACCATTATGGGTCTTGTTTTATCCAGATGTTTCACATAATTTATTATTTCTCTGTTACCAGGCGAAAAATAAGTTTGAA